TCTCAGAGGCGCTGCCTCACTTTCTTCTCTAGGGTCTGAAGGAGATGGGGGCCTTGGGCTGAGGCACGCAGCCTTAGGTCAGAAGCGAGGGGGTGCAGGCACTTCGGGGAGTAAATGTGGTAACCTGCCAAGGGCTGACGACACCCCATTCGCCACCCCAGACAGAAAGTTCCTAGCCTGCCCCTGCCGTCAGCCCTGGGAAACCCCACGCAGGGTCCCCGGATGTGGAGTTGGCGCCCTGGGCGTCTGAGGAGGTGCGGCTTTGTCTGAGGGGGTTGGAGTCGGGTCAGCAGAGGGAGGGGTACAGGCCCTGACAGGGGGCAAGGTGAGGACCCTGAGGGAGGACTGAGGCCCCCACTCCCCCCCATGCCACCACTCCTCGCTGTGCGCTGATTCCCTAGACCCTCCTACCCTCCACTGTCGTCAGCCCTGAGAAGCCCCAGCCAGGGTACCTGGATGTGGAATTGCCTCCTTGGGCATCTGAGGAGGCGGGGCGTTGTCTGAGGGCCCTGAGTCAGGTCAGCAGAGGGAGGGGTCCAGGCCTTGCCAAGGGGCAAGGTGAGGACCTTGAGGAAGGACTGAGGGGACTTCATACACAAAGGGGGGCCCCACAAAATCCTGTGCTTCTGTCAAAGCTTGGAGACCCAGGGAAGGGCGTTCAGACAGAGGCACTGCCCTCACTTTCTTCTCAGGTGTCGTAAGGGTATGGGGGCCTTGGGCTGAGGGACAGAGCCTCAGGCCAGCAGAAGGGAGGGAGTACAGGCCCTTTCAGGAGTATGATGCCTTGAGAAGAACTGAGTTACACTCTCCCCACCACCACCCCAGACAGGAGGTTCACAACTCCGCATTGCCTGTGCCCCAGGCAGGGTCCTGGGGTGTGGAGTTGCGACTTGGGTGTCTGAGGAGGTGTGGCTTCGTTTGAGGGGCTGGAGTCAGGTCAGCAGAGGGAGGGGTCCAGGCCCTGTCAGGGGCAAGGTGAAGACCTGGAAGGAAGACAGAAGGGACTTCCCACACAAAGGAGCCCCCACAAAAACCGGTCCTACTGTCAATGCATGGGGGCCCTGGGCAGGGCTCTCAGGCAGAGGTGCCACCCTCACTTCCATGTCCAGAATCTCAAGGAGATGGGGGCCTTGGGCTGAGGGACTCAATCTCAGGATAGCAGAAAGAAGCAGGGGCAGGTACTGTCTATAGTAAATATAAATACTTCCAGGAAGAGTGACGATATCTCCTACCCCAGAACACAAGAGTCCTCACAGACTTGAGCTCAGCCCCTGCTGTCAACCCCAGGAGGTGCTAGGCGGAGGTTGCTAGATGGTATGTTTTCCTGACTATCCCCTGCGGGAGTGTCAGGGAAAGGTGGACATTTTTCTGACGGGGCTAGGCTCAGGTCAGCCAAAAGAGAAGTCCAAGGCCCTGCCAAGGGCAAGGTGAGGTGACTGAGGGAGAACAGAGCCCTCCCCCTGGAGTCCACCCTTCCCCCGCTCATCTTCGCATGCCCCCCCCTTTCCCCCAGGGGCCATTTTTCCTCCCTTCACTCCATTTAGCTCACTAGGAGCCCTGGTGGTATAACAGTTAAGCTCTGAGCTGCTAACAGAAAGGTTGGTGGTTCAAACCCACCCAGTGGCTTCACAGGAAAAAAACCTGGCAATCTGCTTCTGTAAAAGATTACAGCCTAGAAAACTCTATGAGACTGTTCTACTCTGTCACAGGGGTCATTATGAGTTGGAATGACTGGGCAGCACAACAGTGGCCCCTCCTTTCTTCTAACCCCTCCTCCCTGTGGCAAAAAAAAAAAAATCAAACTCATGGTGTCCTCATGTGTTTCAGAGTAAAACTGGGCACAGAATTTTCAGTGGCTGTAATCCTACAGAAGCAGATCACCAGGCTCTTCTTTCAAGCCTTTCTTCTGCAGTGCAGCATGCAGCTCCCCTAAAAAACAAACAAAAAAAAGATGAGTAGATTCCAACATATGGCAACCCGATGTGTGTCACAGTAGAACTTTGCTCCATAGGGTTTCCAATGGCTGATTTTTTGGAAGTATATTGCCAGGGTTTTCTTCTGAGCTGCCTCTGAGTGGACTTGGACTTCCAACCTTTCAGTTATCAGCCGAACATGTGAACTGTACCACCCCAGGGAGTAGCAGCTCCTCTGTTGTTGTGGTGTGCCGTCAAGTCAATTCCAACTCATAGTGACCCTACAGGACAGAGTAGAATTGCCCCATAAGGCAGCTCCTGTAGCCCATCCTAAACCCACTTTCCACCCCTGCCCTTGCTGTGAGCCCTGGGAAACCCTAAGCAGGGTCCCTGGATACTGAGTTTCCTGACTGGCAGTTTGGGTGCCTGAGGGAAGTGTGGCTTCATCTGAGAGGGCTGGACTCAGGTCAGCAGAAGGAAGAGTCCAGGCCCAGCCAGGGGGCGAGGTGAAGACCCTGAGGGAGTACTGAGCAGACTTCCCACATAGAAAAGGATCCACAAAAATCTGTGTAGCTGTCAATGCTTGGTGGCCCCAGGCAGGACACTCAGAGGCAGTGCCTTCATAGTGTCTCAAGGAGATGGGGGCCTTGAGCTGAGGGATGCAGCCTCAGGTCAGCAGAAGCAAGGGGGTGCAGGCCCTTTCAAGAGTAAATAGGATACCTTGAGAAAGACTGAGGGCACCACCCCCACCCCAGACAGAAGGTTTTCAGCTCCACCCTGACCCTGCCCTCAGCCCTGGGAAGCCTGGGTACCTGAATGTGGTGTTTCCTGACTTGTGCCTTGGGTGTCTGAGGGCAGTGTGGCTTCATCTAAGGGAACTGGACTCCAGTCAGCAGAGGGAGGAGTCCCAGGCCCCACCAGGCATCAAGGGGAGGACCAAGGAAGGGCTGAAGGGACGTCCTGTGCTGAAGCTGGGGGTCCCACAGAAATGTGCCCCTGTTAGAAATGCTAGGAGGCCCTAGGCAAGCCTTCTCAGTCAGAGGCACGTCTCTCTGACTTCCTTGTCTGTCTCTGAAGGTCTTGATCAAAGGAATGCACACCCAGGTCAGCAGAAGGGAAGGATGTAGGTCCTGTCAGGAGTAAATATGAATACCTTGATAAAGACTGAGGGCAGCCCCCCAACCTCAGATAGACAGTTCCCAGTTCTGTCTTGTCTCTGCTGTCAGCCCTGGGAGACCCCAGGTAAGAATGGCTGGATGTGGCACCTCTTCACCTTTTTTTCATGGTCTTAGGGTAGTGAGGACATCGGTCTGAGGAGGCTGCCTCAGGTCAGCAAGGAAAGGAATCCTAGGCTCTATCTGCCTAAAGATAAGAACCCTTGGTGAAGACTGAAGTTCCCCCTCACACCAGAAAAGAAAGGACCCCACAGAGTCCAGCTGTCCCCTGTTTTCAGCCCTGTGAAGAGCCTTGCTGGGGTGGCCAGATGTGGCGAGCCTCACTTCCACCTTGGACAAGATAGGGCAAATGTCTCAGGAAGTTGAAGGCCTTGGTCTGAGGGGGTAAATTCAGATAAACAGAGGGAAGCCCACACCTTGCAAGGAGGGAAAGTGAACACTCTGAGATAGGACTGAGGGTACCCCCACCACAGAACAGATGGAATCTAGCCCCTGCTGTCTGCCCTGGGAGACCCAGGCAGGAGTAGCTTTATGTGGTGCCTCTTTACTTTCTCTCAGGGGTCCTAGGGAGATGAAGGCCTTGGTCTGAGAGGAGAATATCCTGAGGGAGGACTCTCAGGATCTGTTGGCAGTCAATGTAAGAACTGTTGGTGAGGACTGAAGGTACCCTCCCCACCACAGAAAGGAAGGGATCCAACAGAATCTAGACTTCTATTCTGAGCCCTGGGAGAACCTGGGCAGGGGTGGCTGGATGTGGTGTGCCTTCACTTCTGCCTTAGACAGAGTAGAGCTAGTGTCCCAGCAAGGTTAGGCCTTGGTCTGAGGGGGTAAAGTCAGGTCCACGGGAATGTTACAGACCCTGTTAGGAGTGAGGATGAATACCCTGGGATAGGACTGAGAGTACTCCGCATCACAGAACATATGGGTATATAGACACTGCTGTCTTTCCTGAGAGGCCCTGGGGCATGATGGCTGGATGTAGTAAGTCCTTACTTCCTTCTTTGTTGTCTCATGGAGGTGAGGTCTTGGTCTAAGGAGGGTGGCCTCAAGTCAGTAGAGAGAGGTAAGTCCCAAGCCCTGCCAGATACCAACGTGAGGACTGAGATGAGCCCCCATTCTAGGAGAGAGGGACCCCCAAAGGGTTCAGCCAGCTCTTAACTGTCACACCTGAGAGGCCCAAGCAGGTGTGGCCAGGCATGGTGCCCCCCTTACCTCTTCCTTGTTGGTCTCAGGAGTGTGAGCTCTTGTTCTGAGAGTTTTGCCTCAGGTCAGTGGAGGGATGGGGCCCAGACCCTGTCAGGGGAAAGGTGAAGTCCCTGAAAGAAAACTGATGAGACCACTCACACCTGAATAGTGGGGACCTCACAAAGTCTGACCCTGCAGCTCCTGCTGGCACTAGGAGCCCCAGGACTGTGCTTGCAGTCTGCATCCTGAGGTGCTCCCTCTATTCCTCTCAAAGGAGCTCAAGGAACCAGGAGGTGAGAACGTTGGTTGCAGAGTTCCTCGGGTCATCTGAGTAAAGGAGTCCTAGGTACTTCCAGGAGTCAAGGTGAGGACCCTGAATGTCTACGAAGACCTGGCACCTATTCCAGAACAAAGGGGACCCCATAGCACCTGACCCCACCTGCCCTACTATCAGTCCTGGAATTGTTAGGTTGTGTCAGTCAGCTGCACACTGAGGACCTGTCCCACTTCTTCCTTCAGGTTCTTCAGGGACAGGTTGACCAGGAGACAGGAGGCCCTAGAGGAAGATCAAAACAGAAGACCTGTAAGTCGGCCTTTGTCAGAGCTGCCAAGGTTGAGTTTTTTAGCTGAGACCACTCACACTCTCTCTCTCTTCACTAGGCCTGTGGATTCCCATCTCCCACCCTGCTGCTCAAACTCCTGCCTTCCACCCCCAGTAAGAGTCATCATGCTTCGTGCTCCAAAGCGTCAGCGCTACACATTTGAGCAAGACCTTCAGACCCAAATTGAGGCACGGGGCCTGGTGGGTGCACAGGTTCCAGCAGCTGAGGAGGAGGATTCCTCTTCTGCCTTCAACTTCTCCTCCCTCTCTTCCTTTTCCTGTTCCCCCACTTCTTCTCCCTGTTCCTCCCCCTGCTCTTCATCTTCTTCCTTCCACTTCTCCTACCCCTCCACCTCTTCCTCATCTTCTCCTCTGAACGTGGGCACCCAGGATGAGGAAGAGGTGCCTGCTGCTGTGACACCGAGTACTCATCAGAGTCCTCAGAGATCCTTCTCCTTCTCCACTTCATTGAGCACCTCACATGAGGACTCCAGCAGTGCAGAAGAGGAGGAAAGTCCAAGCACTGGTCAGGCCTCAGTAGGCACCGAGTCCTCACCCAGAGATCCGCTAGAAGAGAAGGTGACTGATTTGGTGCAGCTCCTGCTCCTCAAGTATCAAACGAGACAGCCCATCACAAAGGCAGAAATGCTGAACACTGTGATCAAGAGGTACAAGAACCGATTCGCTGTGATCTTCAAGAAAGCCTGTGAGTGCCTAGAGATGGTCTTTGGCATTAACGTGAAGGAAGTGGACCCCACCATCCATTCTTATGTCCTTGTCAAATCACTGGATCTAACATACGATGAGGTAGTCATTAATGGTCAAGGCATGCCCAAAAATGGCCTCCTAATAATTATCCTGGGTGTGATCTTCCTGGAGGGTAACTGCATCCCTGAGGAAGACATTTGGGAAGTGCTGAATATTATGGGAGTGTATGCTGGGAGCAAACATGCCATCTATGGGGAGCCCAGGCAGCTCATCACCAGAGATTGGGTGCAGGAAAAGTACCTGGAGTACCAGCAGGTGCCCAATAGTGATCCTGCCCGCTATGAATTCCTGTGGGGTCCAAGAGCCCACGCAGAAACCAGCAAGATGAAAGTCCTAGAATTTTTGGCCAAGCTTAACGGGACTGACCCCAGTTCCTTCTCACCCTCGTATGAGGAGGCTTTGAGAGATGAGGAAGAGAGAGCTCAAGCCAGAATTGCCCTCACAGGTAGTACTACAGATATGCTCACTGCACAGTGTTGGCCAGCAGCCTTTTCTTCCCCCAGTGAAGACTGAGGCAGATTCTTCACTCTGTTTGAAGAGGGCAGTCAGTGTTCTTAATAGTGGAGGGCCAGGGTGGGGCTGGGGAAACACAGTATGTAACATTCTTATCGTCATCTTCTATAAGGGGAATTTGGAGGTTTAACTCCCCCCACCTTTGATATTTTTCAAATGCTGTTCCTTTTAACAGCAAGTTTAATTGGCTCAGATTCTAAGTTTATGCATGATGTTAGTCACATTGCTGTTTAAGAGTTTTGCTATAAAACAAACTGGGAAGCCCCCCATCTTATTTGTGTTTTGTAACAAGATGACATAGAATTGGAATAGGAATTTCCTTGGAAATACAAACTTAACTCTGCAGTAACAACGACAAAAAAAAAAAAATGATGGTTAATTTTGGATTTCCTTACTACTTTTAGTCTGTGGTTCTGTAAAGTTAAAGATACATACCTGTATTTGCTCGGCTTATTCACAAATGGAGAAATTAAATCTTAATAAACGAAAGAACCTGCTCGTGGGCTCATTTATTCCTCAGACATGAACTGAGCATCTGCTCTGTGGAAGGCATGGTGTTAGTGGGGGGATCCTAGGATAAGCAAGATGCACCCCCACACATAGAATGGTAAAGTGGTAGATTGATATTAGCAAGGTGGTGAGACATCCTCTAAGTCCTAAAGACCAAGTGAAAAGGCATTAAGAGGTGGGACTCCACATGGGAGCAGTCATGTGTAAATTCCTGGAAACAAGGCAGTTTGTGGCTTTGGAAAACTGCAGTTCTTTCTGTGGGAATTAATTTTAAGTTGAGCTTGTGGTGGCAGGGGCAAGAAAGTCAGATGGTGTGTCTTACAGTTGAGAGAAAAGCCTGGAATGGAAAATGCTCTTAACAGTTACTTTTGGTTCATGCATAAACCAGAGAAAAAGTTTACCTGGGAGGGTATGGAAGTTATCCTGTCTTCTTGTCCCAGTGTAGTTGAACACAGTGCACGAACTAGGTGTTTTATACACATCATCTGCAAGGATTTCCTGAGAAATAAGGGTGATAGTCCAGTGAAGGGATGCCCAGAAGCCACTAAGCTAGCACAGTTTTTCCAAGCCTGGGAGGCCATAGCCCATTGCATTAAAGGGACATTTCAGTTAGGTTACCTTGCGTGTAATTTGGCCAACTCTAAGCAAGGCCTACATTTTTGGTGGGAGGGAAATTAATGAAAATAGTGCTCAGGATGAAAGAGCAGCTGAGAGGTAGGGCAACAGTCTTTGACTCAAATTCTAGGAACTTGGAGTTGCATGCACCTAGAGAAGACTTCCTCAAAACCAAATTTAATATATCCTCTATGAGGGAAAATTTAAGTTTATTTTTGAAGCAACATTTTTAGTTGATTCAGAATTTTGTGTCCTATTGAGCTTCATATACTCTGAGATGTCCTGGATAACCCAAAAAAATGTCCAGAGGAGAGGGTGGTAGGCTGAGGGGTCAAAATAATATTAGAATTAACTGCCATAGTGCATGCCAGGTACTGTGCCAGGGGCTTTACATACATAATGTACATTCCAACAGCCCTACAAGACAAAGTTGACCGAACCTATTTTACAGATGAAGAACCTAAGGCATTGGTAATAAGCCCAAGGTCACATGGCTAATAAGTGACAGGGCTGGGGCTAGACTCTTGGTCTGATTCCATCTACAGCCTATGTAGTTCCCATTCCTCCTTGCCTGAGGCAGACCTATCTCTATTAATTCATATTTCATCTCACTACTTCATAATAAGGGGCCCTGGTGGTACAGTGGTTAAGCACTCAACTACTAATCGAAAGGTCAGTGATTCGAACCCACCAGCCACTCCTCAGGAGAAAAGACTGGAGATCTGCTTCCATAAAGTTTACAGCCTTGGAAGCCTTATGGGGGCTGTTGTACTCTGTCCTATAGGGTTGCTATGAGTAGGAATTGCCAGCAGTGGGTTACTTCATAATGTCTCTGTGCAAAAAAAAATAAAAAGAAGGACCAGGCGCCAGGGTATTAAAAGCAGATCTAAAGAAGGCAGGTGCTAATGAGAACAATACACACCTTGGGGATTCTCAATGGGCTTTATTTACCTAGGGTCCTCCTGCCCAGACCCCCAGGATTCCTTGAGAGCTGACTCTGCCCAGGGGACAGCATTTTGGTCTCGTTGCCACACTTTCCGTGGTCTTCTCCAGTGTGTCCTCCTGCCCAACTCTGGAACCTGGCCTGCTGACCAGCTTTTCACTGCCTCTAACTCTGAAGGCTGTGCCCTATTCCCAGTGGAACAGTCTAGAATCACCTGACCTCCTAGCATAAATCATTCCTACTTCCTGCACAAGGAGCCTTGGTGGTGCAAAGGTTAAAGTGCTCAACTGCTAGTCAAAAGTAGGTGCTTTGAACCCACTAGCAGCTCGGTGGGGGAAAAGACCTGGTGATCTGCTCCTGTAAAGAATACAGCCTAGGAAACCCCATGGGGCAGTTGTACTCTGTCATAGAGGGTTGCTATGAGTCATAATCCACTCAATGGCACAAAACAACAACAAACTCCCTACACAAGTCCCCTGGGTGTCCCATTCCTCACCCTGAAAGCCGTCTAACAGCAACAGCCCCTTTGAGAACTACCATGTGACCCAGCAATTCCACTAGTAGGTATATACCCAAAGACTTGAAAGCAGACACTCAAACAGAGACTTGTACACCAGTGTTCATTTCAGCACTATTCCCGAAATGTGCAAACAACCTAAATGCCTATCAGGAGATGAATGGATAAACAAAATGTGGTACACACATACAATGGAATACTATTCAGCCAGTGGGAGAAAAGAAGTCTTGATACATTCTACAATATGGATGGAGCTTGAAGACATTATGCTGAGTGAAATAAGTCAATCACTAAAGGACAAATATTGTATGTCCTCACTTTTTTATATAAAAAGATAAGAAAAGGCAAATGTACAGAGACCAAAGTTTGTTAGTGGTTACCAGGGGTGGGGGGTGGGGGTTGAAGGGGGTGTTAATAGTGATGGGAAAATCGCATTGATTAAGGGTAGGGTTGCACAGCCGATTATTGTAAGTGCTGTCAATAAGTTGTACACCTGTAAAACACTGAATTGGCAAAAGTTGTGTGATAGACATTGTATCTGTTAACTTGGCTAGGTCATGATTCCCAGTGTTGTATGATTGTCTACTGTTTTGTTATCTGATGTGATTTCCCTACGTGTTGTAAATCCTAATCTCTGCCTGTGGTTGACGAGACAAGATTAGATTATGTTAAAGAGGATTAGGGTGGGATGGAACACCTTTTCTCAGGTCACATCCCTGATCCAGAGTAAAAGGAGTTTCCCTGGGGTGTGGCCTGCATCACCTTTTATCTTACAAGAGACAAAAGGAATGGGAAGCGAGCAGAGAGTTGGAGACCTCGTACCACCAAGAAAGCAGTGCTGGGCGCACAGCATGTCCTTTGGACCCAAGGTTGCTGTGCAGAGAAGCTCCTAGACCAGGGGAAGATTGATGTCAAGGACCTTCTTCCAGAGCCAACAGAGAAAGCCTTCCCCTGGAGCTGACAGCCTGAATTTGGACTTCTAGCCTACTAGACTGTGAGAGAATAAACTTCTGTTTGTTAAAGTCACCCACTGGTGGTATTTCTGTTATAGCAGCACCAGATAACTAAGACAGACATACTTATAACAACAAAAAGAGTAGCTGCTGAGGCTTCCTATGTACAACCAAACACCTCAAGGGATTTGGTTCCTCGGTATGGAGGTTTAGGGTCATAGTTTTAATGGGACATCCCAGTTAAGTGACCTAATATCATGTTTGGTGCTTCTGTTTTACCTCCTAGTTCATTGCGTAGTTCCTGGGGTCTTAAAAGCTTGCAAGTGGCCCTCCAAGGCACAGCAATTGGTCTCTGTTCACCTGTAGCAACAGAGAAAGAGGGAGAGTCAGGAGTAGGAGGAGGATATGAAACATGTAGCTAATTGCCTCCATGAACAACTGCCTCCTTTGTCATGAGACCAGAAGACCTGGATGGTGCCCAGCTACCGTTACTGAACATTTTGATCAAAGATTCTATAGAAGAATCCTGACCAAAAGGGGGAAAATGTAGAACAGAATTTACAATTCTCATGGACTCCAGACTTTTCAGAGTCATAAATGTTGAATAAACCCCTGAAACTATTGCCCTGAGATAATCTTTAAACCTTAAACCAAAAATATCTCCTAAAGTCTTCTTAAAACCAAATAATAGTTTAGCTTAACTAGTAAAGAATGTCTGCTTTGAGCATTGTGCTCTTTCAAGATCTATCTATATGGGATCAAGTTGACAGCAGCAACTTGAAAGATTAAATAAGAAACTTAGGGGGCAATGAGTTTATGTTAATGAGGAACAACTCAGAAAAAGAGAGTGAGAATGGTTGCACAACTCCAGGAATGTAATCAATGTCACTGAATTGTACATGTAGAAAAACTGTTGAATTGGTGTATGTTTTGCTATGTAATATTCTCAACAATTACAAAATAATTTTTTTAAGTTCACTTTGAACAGTGACATTTAGATCACCCCCCCAGACATCTTCAACACACTCTCAAAGTGTTTTCTGAATGAGCTGGTGAATGGAGTCTGATTTGGCCCATAATCTACTGGTTCTTGGGATATAACCCTAAATTAGAGAGTGGGTTTTTTCCAACCATTTTGATATTTGCAGTAGGATTTGAATGATATATCTTATTTGAAACTAGCCACTGAGCACATACACAAATTAATGAGCTTATCTAAACCAAAAGAAAACAAACCCACTGCTGCTGAGTTGATTCCAACTCACAGCGACCCCATAGGGTTTCCAAGGCTATCAAACTTTATGGAAGCACCCTGTCGCATCTTTCTCCCAAGGAGCCAATGGTGATTTTGAACTGCTAGCCTTTCAGCAGTCAATCACTTTACCCACTGTGCCACCAGGGCTTACCTAGGTGGTCAAAAACAAAAGCCTCCCTCATAAGTGGTAGATGAGAAAAAATCATA